ATATATATAGTATATATATTTAAATATCCTTTGACCAATTTGACTAATACTAAACTCTTTGACCAACTGGTCAAATTAGTCAAACTGGTCTGGTCAAGCTTAACCATTGACTGGTCTATACCAACCCTAAATATACTGTATTAATTACAATTATAAAGATTAAAAAATTTACTGTAAAATTGCAAATATCCAATTTTAAGTTTTTCTTATATTGATTACTTAATACTAGAGATAGGCAATTGCATGCATAGTATACAAAACATGCAATTAACTCTGGCCAGCATTAAGAAATTAACTCATAATTTTGGTCAAAACATGCATGCATGTATGCAAAAAATGCATGCGCATGTGCATGCTAAAATGAGAATTTTGTATTTTGCCCATCTCTACTTAATACATAAAAGAATTCTGCAATATTTGTATTACTAGATGATAATATCCCAGTTTTTTATAATGCAATAACCTATTTTTGGCAGTAAAATAAACCCAATCTAATATATATATAACAGTAATTTAAATATATACATTTTTAATATTTCATTTAAAAAAAAAAAAATACTATATAACCTGTTATTTTTTTTATTAAATGTAATTAATTAATTTCATTCTCTAATTTAGCTATAAGCAATGCAAGCATATCATCAATTAGAGTATAATCATATTATTTTTCTAAAATTTTTCTTTAAAAATAAAATAAAATAATATTAAGTAAATAAACAAATAAACAATAAATTATATATTTACCTTTTATAATACACTTGATAGAATTTAAAAATATAAATTAAGTGTTTTTTCTAATTTTTGGTTGATTAATTTTATTTAAAACTGATCCAAGACCTTGTGCTTGTGTATAATCTAAATCAGCAATTATATATTTTTACGTATTATTTCTTATCGTTACGTGCAAAGAAACACGATCAATCGTCACTTTATATAGGGTTCGATAATTTTTAACGACTGGTAGCCAAAAAGTTATCTGTATGCTTTTAGTAATTTATTAATAAATCTTTTCTAATATTATATCGGTTTCGTTAGATACTAGTGATTTTGAGACCGATTAGCTTGAGATCCGAGACCAACCTTTTTTGTAAAACTTCATTTATTGTAAGATTCAAAATTTAAATTATAACGGAAGTATGTAGGCGACCTTTTTTCTTTCTTGGTGTCTAGAATGCGTCGCGCAGCTACGTACATACGTACGTACTAATTCATCACATGAACTATATGAGTGCCGTCAAAGGAAAAACCTGTTATCGGGCTTTCAATTATATCTTGTCGCCTACGGAAAATATATCATAATGATAGATTTTCCATAGGCGACTAACTGTACAATTATATAGTTTTATATTATATGTGATTCGAATTCACTCTAATACCCAAAATCAGAATGGCTGGTTCGGTATAGGGAAAGATTTACTGATTTTATTTAGTTTAGAAAAAAAAATACATAATCTTATTGCTTATGAATTAGCTAGAGCTTAGATCCTTTATCTGTTGGATACTGAATTTAATAATATAAACCGGATGAAAATCCCAGTTCTGACATAACCATGATTTTAAGTTCATAAAAAGTTATTATACGTAATAAAAATATATCTTAACGATTTTGATGACCATATAAATATATATAATATGTAAATATAATATAAACGTGTACCTATAACCTTTGTCCATAAAATCTATAGACATTAAAGTAAGATCTATTTAAGGTACATTCGTTCATACAAGTTGTGGTTATGGCATCGATGTCAGATTTAGAGCCAGCAAACTTCGCCAACACGTCGAAAGTCTCCTTACTATATCTTGCACATGCATCCTTCAGAGAATTATTCCAAACGCCAACTTGAAATGGTCTTGAAATATGCTCAGTTCTATGAAGTTCTTGCCTGGAGTTCATCAATTCTTCAATTCGATAAACGATAAAAGGGTTTATATGTTTGGATTCTAAAAATTTTATCACTTTTGGATTTATAATTCGTGAAATTTAGAAGAAAAAATAAAAATACGGAAAGAAATTTATTAAATAATAATCTCTCTTACTTTTACTTGTTACTCTGCGCGTTTCTGGTCCGCAGTTTCGAATATTTAAATCAGAATCCGAAATCTAGTACCAAAACACATACGTAATTAGATAAATTTTGCTATTTATTAAGGCATAAATCAATAAAATGACGACATTACTTCTATCCATCCACCATTCTTTAGCACCCTAATACATTCTGGAATTACTAAATTCTCCCATTCTGACTCTGTGAAATCATAAAGAAGATTTCGGATATTCACAAAATCAAAATGCTTATCTGGAAAAGGCAATCCTTCCAAAATATTTGCCTTAATAAATGAAGTATTTGAGGGCTTTATTTGTGGAATTATTTTATCGACAATTTCCGTTCCAACAAATTCACATTGAGGAAAATCTGAAGACATTTCGCAAATCCAAGCTCCCTGCCCACATCTTTAGAAATATTAATACTGATGCCTAAAATGCTCACAATTTAAAATGGATATTAGCAAATTTTTAATTTAATTTACCCAATATCAAGAACTTTGGCGCCACCTGATCTTAATAAATCATATATGGGTGATGAAAAGTTTCCTTTAAAAATAACACGAATAATATCATGTCGTAAAGCTGTTCGCTCCTTTTCTAGATCAAGTTTTTCATTAGTGTTGACTTTGAAAATCTTGGTACTGTTTGGTCCAAGTTTGATGATTTTTGAATATATTAATCCCATTGAGGGCTTAGGTTTTTAAAGAGAGTGTAATAATTATTGGGATCAATAATGATTGATCTTTTGAACACATATCATCTGCAATTTTTATACTATTTATAATATTTATACTTAAGATATAGTAATAACAACAGAAATTTTAATTTTTTTTTTTTTTTATGAATGAGTAAAGACCTCAATACGAATTATGGAAGTGAAACAAATAAATAGCGATCATGAGCTAAACTTCTTCTGCTTCCTTTTAATCAATAGATATACTGCATACATAGCGCTTTACCGGTCCGGTCTATCAGGCGTAACGTTAGGGTGTTCAATAAACTAATTGATCAGAACATAGTTAGGATCATATATGATGATCATTAAGTTCGGGTTACACATATGAATTTACATATGAATTTGTACTAACGCTAAGTGTCATATATCATCTGATTTTTTTACATACGTACGTAGCAGGGGAGTGCCAAAATTTCATGCTAATAGATCACATGTATATATGTTTATATATAATCGTAATCATTTGAGAGAAGGAGGGAATTTTACTATTTACAAAATGACACTTCCCTAATTTAGGTGCATTTTTCTACACAGCCAACAGACAAAATTGTATAATACTGTAATATATATTTTTTTTAAACAGTATAGTTCTAGACTAGCTCTACACTAAAATAGAACCGGTTTTTTAATAACTTTTGTTAATCATTAATAAAAATTAACCAAAATTTTATTAAAAGTTATTAGAAAACCGGTTCTATTTCAGTGTAGAGCTAGTCTAGAACTACAGTTTAAAAAAAAATGATACAATTTTTTGTTTGTTGGTTGTGTAGAAAAATGTATCTAAATTTAGTATATACAAATTTATATCGATATGTGAATTCATATGTGAAATAACCCTTTAAAAAATCCGATCTTATTTGATCAATTAGTTTATTGAACACCCTAGCGCAAAAAAAAAAAAAAGCAATGAAAAGCAGCTCAATAAATGTAAAAAATGCCCTGATCACTATATAAAGATCATGGGGTATTTGGTAAATTCGTATGTGTACAAGCGGAAATGAAGTTTCCACTAATATCCAACTATCCAACTATACAGATTATTTTATTACATATAGCCTAGTTTCGTTCTGGATTGCATAAACTTTTTTTTAGAAGGTCAATGTTGGTACCAACCAAATTACAGTATTATCGTAAGAGGAAAATATCAGCGTTATTGTCGGAATAACATTAATGTAGAAATAGTAGAATCAATGCCATAAAAAGATAAAATACTATAAATAGAGTATTCGTTTGGTCAAAGATTTTCGTCAGAATATTCGAATGTTCAAGTTTTTTAATTTGAGTACTGCTGAAAAATTGTAGCATTAGGTAATATTTTTATAGTATTTAAAACGTTACTTCCCTATCATTTTGGATGTGCATTCGTACGGACGGATGGACGGTCATTCATAATATCAGATATTATTTATTAGGGTTCCGCAAGTGCCAGACACGGACACTATGTTATAGTAATGCCAGACATGTGTCTAGGCATTATTTTTAATAGTCCTTACTATCTACCTTTATGTAATCGTGTTACTGAAAAGCATAAATTCTTCAAAAGCTAAATTCGCTATGGTGGACTTAAATTTTCATTTGCAGGTCTTCATCCTGCAACACATAAAATAAAATAAAATTAATGCGATAATTATATTTTTACGCCTACGTCGATTTACTTATTTGTGCGAGTAACACAAACCAAAAAAGGAAATCGAATTTTGTAAATAAATTAAGTGCGTAAAAATAGAAGTTTAAGATTAGGACGTTAGGGTTGTGAGCTTTAGCAATAAGTTGGAATTTCTTATATGTAAAATTTCATACCCGTTATTTTTTTGAGTATTTTCGCTTTCTTTTCTTTTTTTCTTCCTTCGCACGTGTTCGGATTCTATGTCGGGCTGATCCGGAACACCCAAAATTTCTGTTCTCTGATTGGCCATTTCCATTTTAGAGGTTTGTATTACTCGCGCAAATAAGTGGCTGCCAGATACGTACCACATTCACCTTTTTAATTAGTGATCTAAACCAAAAATAAATCTGGAATAATATGGTGCTACTAAGGAAAAAGGGCTTTCAAGTTTATTATTGATTATTTATTGGCCCAATGAAAATTTGATTGGTGATATAATATATCCGATATGATATGTTATCTGATAAATGATACGTTATCTGATAATAGGATGTGAAGCAGCCAATAACGGAAATTATTTGTAAAAATAATTTCATTATCTGGCTGTGAAATTTAATATGTCAGCTTCTGGGGCCCGAAGGGGCCCAGAAATGATACATA